ACTATTTTTCTCCACAATGAAATGAAAGGTACGATTGGCTAAAAGACTTATTTCTTTTAGGAATTTTGGGAATGATTATTTTGGGTGATATTTGAAAGAAATAGGGAGAAACTATGGATGACCTTTTAAATTCTAGCCACTTTTTTTTTTTTTTTTAAATAATCCAGGCCTTATGTGTTCTGTTTTCCTGAGCTCTATGCCAGTAGACATTCATGACAATGGTGGGCCCTGAATTGGTAATTCACCACCAGACAGGCACCAAAAACCTTCCCTTGCTCCTGCTATTGTTGCTGGGGACAGTGAAACTGGTGATGAAGTCTGAGTGGTACTTAGTAATTGTTTAAGGAGAAAAAGATACAGAATTAAATTAATAATGTGGAGCTCAATTAAAAGCCCTGAAAATGTCAGATTGCACATTTTTTGAGTGATAATTTTAGAGACACATGCAATACTAAGAAATAATATTGCATGTGTCTCCATGTACCACACACATTGGCACCCTTCTCTTCCCAGGCTCTCTTCTGGTAGAAAAACAAAACAAGTTAGATTTGTTGTGACTAATTCTATATGACTTGCCCAGTTTTGTTCAATGGTAATATTTTGCAAAACTGAAGTAATGGATAATTTGAAAAAGAAATATATAGAACAAATAGAAGTTAACGTAAAACGTGGATATGAAACCTGAAGGTGAAAATAAAGACAGGTGTAAAAGATGAGGGACAGTGATCAAGACAGTACCGCCTCCAGACCTGGATTGCATGGATTTAGACCTGGCTCTGCCACATACCCTGTTCCTGACCTCTCCATAGGAGTTTCTAGGAACCGTTGAAACAAATTACCGCAAACTACTACAGGGCTTAAAAGGACAGAGATTTTTTTCTTCTCATAGGTCTAGAGGCAGGCAGGCCAATGTTAAGGTGTGGGTAGGCCGTGCTCCCCCTAAAGACTGTAGGGAAGAATCCTGCCCTGTATTGTCCCAGCTCCTGGTGGTCAGCGGTCCTGGACATGAACTATCTTGAGGCTGCCTGCTCTCTACTCTGCCTCCATCTTCACATGGCTTTTCCCCTCCTCTGCCTCTGTGTCCACATTCTCTCTTATGTTTTGGACTTAATGGCCATTCTCTTTGAACATGTGACCCTACCTTAACCTGGCTGTATCTGGAAAGGCCTTATTTTCCCATAAAGTCACAGTTTAGTGGACACTGTTCAACCTAGCACACTGTCACAGACACCTGACTCGGTGTCCTCATTTGTAAAAAATGGATAGTAACAGAACTACTTTCAAGGAGTCAGGATAAAGAGTACATGGCCAGTGTAGTAAAGTGCCCAAGCAGTAGACTTGGCTATTAGAGACCCTGCGTGGTTTATTGGGAGCCTTTATAGATACAGGGGATGCTGCTGGCACTTTCAGGCCTGCCGTCATCCTGGAGGTGCCTCCTGTTTCCCAGCTGCTCTGTGGCTTGTGCAATACAGAAATGGGGCACTCAGAGTTGGCCAGCAGCTGAGTTGTCTCTCAGGACAGACAGGCACACCTGACACACCTGTCAGTTGCTCTCTCAGTGTAAATCCTGGCTTTGACCAGGAAGAAGAACAGATCTTTATAGCGATGGTATTTGTTATAGTAGACTTTTCAGGGTGGTTGCTAATAAATGTTTACGTTAATTAGCATAAACAGACTTTCTAAAACCTTTCACTTATTGAATATTTCAAAAGTAAACACTTTTTGCACTTTTTAAAGTATAACTTGGTATGCCTCAGTTAAGTTATCAGGTTGCTGGCTACAGACATCAACAGAGTAGGTCTCTTCTAGAAAAAAAAGTGTCTTGGTAGAATATTATAAAGATAAAAGTAGCTGCCTAATCTCAAGTCTTCAACCCCATCCACATATGGCTGGATGGTAATGTAAGACCAACAGATCCGCAAATGGCTTTTTCCTTGAAAATGCGTCAGTACACACAACTGTTGGCAGGAAAATACAGTGGCTCCGAGTGCTCTGGAAAAGAAAA